CGTGGGTTTTGAGTTGCCTGGATGCGTAAGCTATTACCTTCCCTTTTTGCATCAGCACGCATCCCAACCCTTTCTTGGATGCATCGCTGTAGACCTCGAATTCTTCCGTTCCGGAGGGGATGGCTAGCACGGGTGCCGTGGTCAACTTGTCCTTTAATTCTTGGAAGGCTGAGATGCAGTCGTTGTCCCATCGGAAGGGGGTTTCCTTTTTCATGAGCTTAATGAGGGGTTGGGCTATCTTGGTGAAGTCGGGTACAAACCTCCTGTAGTAGCCGGCCAGGCCTAAGAAGCTTTGGACCTCCGAGAGTGAGCTTGGTGTGGTCCATTCTTTAACGGCGCGAATCTTAGCGGGGTCCACCCTGATCCCTTCTTTGGTTATTACGTGGCCCAAGAAGGCTACGCTGTCCTGCCAGAATTCGCACTTGGAGAATTTAGCGTAAAGTTGGTTTTCTCTGAGGGTTTGTAGTGATATACGAAGGTGCTTCTCATGCTCTTCTTTATTTCGGGAGTAGACTAGGATGTCGTCGATGAATACAATGACGAAGTCATCCAGGTGAGGTCGGAATACTCGATTCATGAGGTCCATGAATATGGCGGGTGCGTTAGTGAGGCCGAAGGGCATTACGGTAAACTCGTAGTGGCCGTAACGTGTTCGGAAGGCCGTTTTCTGGATGTCCGATTTGGCCACTTGGATTTGATGATATCCGGATCTTAGGTCGATCTTCGAGAATACCCCTGCCCCCTTAAGTTGGTCGAATAAGTCATCTATCCGGGGAAGGGGGTACCTATTCTTTATTGTAACTTGGTTGAGTTCCCTGTAGTCGATGCATAGGCGCATGCTCCCATCCTTTTTCTTAACGAATAGTACCGGTGCTCCCCATGGGGAGGTGCTGGGTCGGATATAACCCTTATCTAGTAGTTCCTGGAGTTGCGTTTTTAGTTCTTTCATTTCCTTTGGTGCTAGTCTGTAGGGTGGTTTAGAAATCGGGGCGGCGCCCGGTGTGAGGTCTATGGTGAACTCGACTTCTCTGGCCGGGGGTGCCCCGGGAATTTCGTCCAGAAAAACGTCCATGAACTCGTTTACCACTGGGATGTCTTGTGGTTCGAGTATTTTGGCGTTGCGGTCTTCGACTGAGCATAAGAAGGCCTCGTTTCCTTGGCCCAGATACTTCTTAATTTTCATCATGTTTACAAGCTTGATCCCCGGATCCTGGCGGATACCGCGGTATGACACCCTCTTTCCGTTTGGTCCTCGTAGGACCACTTTCTGCTCTCCGCACAAGATTTGCGCTTGGAATTTCCCTAGCCAGTCCATGCCCAAGATTACTTGTATCCCATCCAGTTGGAACTGGATTAGGTTGCTGGGAAATTCCAACCCTTGAATGGTGATTATCACATGTTCGTACATGCGATCACATTTTATGATCTCGCCTGAGGCCACCTTGACTTGGAGCCGGACCTTGGTGCTGGCGTTAAGGTCGAGCTGGGCGGCGAATTCAGTTGCTATAAATGAGTTGGTAGCCCCCGAGTCAAATAGTATGGTGGCTGGGGTGGCGTGCACTAGGAAAGTTCCGGAGACTATGTTGCTATCTCCGACCCTGGCCTTGCTTAGGGTGAGGATCCTCCCCCGGGCAGTCGGTGTGATGGCCCGACCCAGTGGGGTGGTTTTGGGGTTTTTAGGCTCTTTGGTGGGAATTGGGCGACTTCTTTCGGGCTTCCTTTTATACCCCAGTTGTGTCCCTTGGGGCGGGTTCGTTACCTGTTGTAGTTGACACGCCTTGGTGTAGGCTTCTCCGAGGGTCTTTGGTTCTTGGACGGCCAAAGCCCTCTGGTGTTCGGGGTTAAGGCCTGCTAAGAATCTCCTGACTTTGATCCCCTCGGTGGGCACTAGCTAGGGGGCGAGGCGAGCCAGTTGGCAGAATCGTTGGTAGTATTCTGAGACTGGGGCTGCCCCTTGTCTTAGATGGAGGAATTCCTCGCGTGTGGCGGCTTTCAGGTGGTTAGGGTAGAACCGTTCTCGTAACCGTGTTTTTAGGCCTTCCCAGTCGAATCCGGGGTCGTGTTCGTACGTGGGTCCCTCACGGGCCCACCAGATGTCGGCCTCGTGTCTGAAGTAGAAGGAGGCTATCCCGACTTGGCGGTGTTCGGGGCATTGGGTTTCCTTGAATACCCTATCGAAGGTCTCAATCCATTCCTCGAGGATCGTGGGGTCTCCGTTTCCCGAGAAGGTGGGCGGTTGGTGTGCCGAGACTTGGTGGTGGATTTCCAAGTTCTCGTTCGTTGGTAGGGGCTGGGGAATGACAGTGCTTAGTGCCTGGGCGATTTGGGCCAGGCGTTGTAGATTCTGAGTCAGGAGTTCCTGTGTAGGGCGTCTCGGTGTTCCTGTCTGTTTCTTCTTGGGTGCCATCCTGGTGGATAAAGGTTGATATTATTTTGTGTTTTCACCTTGATGTAATGAGCGGAGAAGAGTTTCTTAATATTAGAGAGGGGTGAAGTGAGGGGAGGTGATGTGTAGGTTTCTCAATCTCACCGCGCGTCCTAAGATTCCTGAGGCCTATGTTCTTAAGCATCTAGAGTTCAAGCCTAATGTCCTAAAGTCCGGTCCTACGAGTCTTTTCCTAGGGTCAAACTTAGGCTCTGATACCAACTGTAACACCCCAGATTTTTAAGACTTTCTAAACTTATAATAAAGGTAGAATCTCATTAAATCCCAAGAAATAAATACAAGTGTATGGGGTGCTATGCCACACCTGGGCTAGAGAACCCAAGTGCACAGGCTAACTAACTAATATCCTCAAAGCGTAATTACGTAACCGTGGCACGCAGGCCAAAAAGGAAAACTATCTACTTCTATATTCCAAGTTCTAGCGCGCTCCAGTGACTTAATCTTCGGTGCCTGAAAGCCAAATATATCTGTTCAGCGAGAGATGCTGGTAACCCACTCCAACGCGTTGAAATACAATACATATAGAGATATATATAGATATACGAAAACCATTTTGAGCATGAAGATATATCCTACGAACTCTAGCTTTAAAACCGGGAATGACTCGACAGATAAGGCCAGACACAAGCAACAGTTATAACGAGCATATGCAATTCACAATAGATAAGGTAGATAAGGCAAGGCATAAACAATAGTCACAACCCAACATAAACAATCCCCAACATAAATCCCATAGTCACATCCCCCAAGGCACTCATGATCACCACTCATCCATATCACAACACATAACACACTTTGTTTGCGCCACAGGACCAATCGCATGCCCATACATGAGGGTCAGCGCATATAGCTCTGACACGGCCCAGCAGCACCCTGCCCCATATCGCAACACGGAGGGGTCGATCGCAACCGACCGATGAACCGCAGCTCATCATAGTGTTTGATCGCAACCAAACAGTGGACCGCAGCCCAAGAGAATGTCATCTGACCGCAGCCAGGAAAGAGGACGAACCGCAGCTCGTATAGAAATGTTTGATCGCAACCAAACGGTGGACCGCAGCCCAAGAATATCAATCTGACCGCAGCCAGCTTCTGAACCGCAGCTCAGGATAACCAATCCGATCGCAACCGAATTGGGGTAACACACACATTACACATAGAAAGCACATGCAACCCACATTACACATTAGGAAGGGGGGGAAAACGTATAACAAAACCTATGCGTGATCCATCACTTATTCCACCTAGGTTAACGGGAATAACCCCTTAAGAATAGTCCTAAGGGGTTCATACTTCTTCCACCTAGGTTAACGGGATACCAATTCAACTAGCATGCAATATAATAGACTCATAAACCTACGAACGGTACCCGAAATATCAAACTAGACATAGGCACGATAAACGGAGTCTGTTGGGACACCACGGGGAACGGGGAACATCAAACGGGGAAGCCGGGGTCCCGGGTGGGACGAATTTCCAGCGTGGAGCCGGTGGGTGGGGGGCCACCCGCCGGTTTTACTGTTCCGGGCAGCGGGTCGCCGGCGAGCAGCGGGTCGCCGGCGGGCAGCTGCCCGCCCGCCGGCCACCCGCTGCCAGGCGGTGATTCTCGGCACCGGGTAGGTGGCGAGTCCCCTACCCCCCACCTACCCCCCACTGACTCTTTTTCACCAATTGCGCCCCGGGAACCATTGTGGAACCCGAAACCATGCTTAGACACTTTACAACGCAATTAACGACAACACGTAGACAATTAACGGATCAATTACGAGAAACGAACGACACATAACCTACCATGCTTTTCTAAACATAATCAACGCCCAAACATGCGATTTCCCCACCCGATAATCCAAGAATAAGATCATACGATACAACCTAGGGTTCTAATCACTTTTATATCAACAAGAATACGGTTCGTCTTCTAATTGCAAGATTCGGTAAGAATAACACATAAACATCAAGAGCATCACACAATTATCAAGAACAACACATAATCATCAAGAACTCCATATAATTATCAAGAATACCATAATTATCAAGAATCTCCCAATATCAAGATCATCAAGATCCCCCATGGGATCATCACATCAATCACCAATAATAATCATCATAACTCGCCAATATACAATAATATGGGGAAACCCTAAGGGGGAATTATAACTATGAAAATAGGTTTTGTTGAGACATGGGTTACCTCTTAGCCTTAATTAATTCCTTGGCTATGAAGGATCTTTCTTTAAGCTTCCTTGCTTTCTTGATTTCTCCTAAGGGGATTCTTGGAGCTCTTATGGGGTGGTGGGGCGTTAGACTTGTGGGAGGAGTTCTATGTGCTTCCTAAGTTCCCTATTTATAGATCTAGGGATCTTATTTAGGGTCTAATCCTATTGGGATTAGGGGTTGGGTTTATATAGGAGGGCCCATGGGCTACGGTGGGCCTTTTTCCCTAACTAATTATTATAATTTATTCTTTCTCTTGGGCTATTATTTAATTAATTAATTGGTTCTAGGACTCGTAACACGGGGTGTTACAACCTTTATTTTATAAGTCTTAAAAGTTTCAAAATTTCGGGGCGTTACACTGCTCTTTTAGAGCGAGAACATTTTTCTCAAGTTGATCTTTAGCAATGGCTAGCTTTATGTTCTCAATTCGAACTTTCCTTAGCGCATTGTAGCTGATCATAAGCCGAGAGTTCTTCTCTTTTAATTTAGAGTATGTGTTTTTGATTATCTTAAACTCCCTCATCATTTCGGTAACTGATTCATTGGAAGCTTGACTCCTTATAGAACTAGACTCTGCTGAATAACAGGATGATGATTGTGAATTTACCTCATCATCATCGGCCATGAGGCATAGTTCATCTGACTCTTGGCTAAACAGACATAGCAGTCCTTTTTCTTCTTCAGTACTATCCTCATCCGAACTTGAGCTTGAGGAACTGCTTTCAGCTTCAATTGTGTCAGATGTTTCATTCACTACCATAGCTTTCCTTCTTCTTTCGTTTCTGGAGTTCGACGATTCTGGCTTGTCATTTCTCTTGTAGCTTTCTCCTACTTCTTTGGATGGGTTTTTGACAGCATTGCCATCTTGGTGCTTGCTCACAATTGGATGTGGACAGTTTGCTTTGAAATGTCCTGGCTTCCGACAATTGTAGCATAGGAATTGTGAGTCTGATGTCTCTTGCTTTGAGGTTTGAGGTGAACTCTCGTGTTTTCTTCGGTGTCCCGAACGTTGAAAATCTTGGAAGTTGTTCTTCCTCATAAACCTCTTCATTTTCCTAACAAATAGAGCATATTGTTCATCAGATAGAAATTCACAAGAGTTAGACTTTGACCTATTTGATGTTGATGCTTGCTGGTTGGCCACAAGAGCTACATTTCTTGTTTCGGGTTCATCAGCATCCTTTGGTTCATGCTCAAACTCGTAAGCCTTAAGATCACTAAAGATCTTGGTTGTGTTTGTGGTCTTCATGTCTCGGTGATCTCTCATTGCTGTGACCTTCATCTCCCAAGACTTCGGTAGGCCACGAAGGATCTTCAGATTCTTTTCCTTTTCGGACAATTCCTTCCCAAGATCAGACAGATCACCCATGAGCCTGGCGAACCTCAGTTCCATGTCTGTGACAGCTTCATTTGGCAACATCTTGAAGTCCTCGAACTTCTTCATGGCCATTGTCAATTTGTTGTCCTTCTCCTGTTCGTCTCCTTCACCCAGATTCATCAGAACATTCCAGATCTCCATAGCGTTTTTGCATTTTGGGAACAAGGAGTCGCGGAGAGAAGAGCCTGCATCTTGATTTTCCAGTCATCAAACTTGGAGAGGTTAAAGGCAAGCTTCTTCGTATGATGAGCATGATCCTTTTCCATTTTTACGAAAAATGTGCAAAGCTGAAAATATGCAACTTTTCATAAAACTTTTGATAAGGGATCTACCAGGCAGTAAATGCAAAGCCTTTACCGATCAAGTTATTGGCTCTGATACCACTTGTTGGTCCCGGTAGAGTTAGAACGAGAGTCTGGAAGGGGGGGAGGGGTGAATAGACTCTTCTCGATTTTTGGCAGATAGCAACCTTTCGGGGTTGTAGCGCAGTGGATAAGTTAAGTTGGTTTTAGTTGCTTTGCACAGTTTGAAGTTTTAAGACAACTTTCGATTTGGACAAATGATAATGCAATGCTGGAAAGTAAAGCACGAAAGTAAAAAGATGGAGAGACGAGAGTTTTTATAGTGGTTCGGCCAACTTTGCCTACTCCACTCTTCTTCCACAACTTATGGAAGGTTTGCATTATCACTCATTAGTACAAATACACACGAAAGCATCCTTGATCACTAAGCCGGACAGCTTCCTGTAGGTTTTTCAACTCCGCGAGTTTACTCCGCCTCTATCAACGCCTTCTTCAGAGTTGAGGTTGGTAGAAAGAAATTTCTGATTTCTCCAACACGGTGAAGTCTTGACTGAATGATGGATGATAGCTTCGTACAAGTTGCAAGACTTCTTCAAGGTGGAAGATGAAGATTGATGAACTTCTTTAAGAAATCTTCACGCCTTGAAAACTGGTTCACAAAAGCTTGGTAATAATGTGAGCTTATACAAGAGCTTTTGCTTGAGAGTATTGATCGAGTGAAAAGAACCAGCACCTTCTAAGTTGATGAAGGTGGGTATTTATAGGTGTGGGAAATTTCATCCGTTGGAGGGAGATGAAATTTCAAACCTATTATCCAGTGGGTAAGGACCGGGGAGCTTGGCGCAATAAATGCTCCATTAATGCGGTTTGTACCATGTAGCCGTTGTAGACATGAACAACCTTAGGGTTTTTGTCTTTTAGTTTCTGAAGTGTAGTACAACTTCATTTAATGTTCCTTGGTATATGTGTCCCACACTTTAAGGTCCTTTTTGTCCCTATGATGGTTATTCAACTCAGACAGAAGAGACTTTCTTCTCGTTATGGGAGAGAATGAGTGTCTTAATAACTCTTCATAAATGTTACTGTCTTGTCGAGATGGTTGATAACCTTAGGTGATCTTTCGTTGTTGAGGCCTTTGATCTCGTGCTCTTTGTCTCTTCTCGCTTTGGTAGACCTAACTAAGGAACATAACTCGTTTTCGTGTGTTTGTCTAGCTTAACACGAATTACAAGATGAGTTATGACAACTTTCGTCTAGAACGAAAACAGCGATGGAAATAACGAAAGTTAGGGGTCTACATTCTAAGTTACATTCGTATCATCAAAATCCTAATACAAGAGTTCCTAACATGGTTTACAAATTATTATCACAAATGAGAATTACCAAGTGCACACTCTCACATAAGGGCTAACAACGTTTCCGATCCCTAATCACAAAAAAATAAAATAAAAAAGTTATCCCAGTTTCGTTCTATCAATTAATTATTAGCAGCCTATTCATTCAAATTGAAGTTGATTACTCAAGTTACATCACTCGGTTTTACCCAATCAACATACATAGAGATTGATGACTGACTCTTGTATTACTATACAAATTTAGAATTAGCTAGAATTGTTCAAATTTTAGAAAATGTGTACTTCTTTGATTAAACTGACCAGTTCCCCGATCCCATCCTATATGAAGATAGGTATATCTTCTGTTGATTCCCTTTTTCTTCTTCTTATCATCCAAGGTGGCTTTCCGATCTCCCCAAGGAGCTATCATGTTGCATACACCTTATTTTTTATGGAGGATAATATAATGTCATCCGCGCTGCGTTGTTTTATTTTTTAAGCTTTATTTCTTTTTGCGTTGTACACGTTACATAATGAAATTATTCAACCCTACATGTTGAGAGAAGATCTGATACTTTTTGTTTTTTTTTTCATAAAACATTTAGTATTCCACTTAGGCTTGAGAAAAAAAATCTAACCGACCGCATAACATAACTGAGGAATAATAAACAAATCGATCAAAAAAAAAAAAATTTCCGGTCATTTATTGGTTATGACGTTAATGTTTTTTTTTTTAATCATTGGAAGGTTAGGATCGGAGTTCAATGGGCATTAGGGGTGTGCAACAATTGATTATCGGTTATGAAGTTCTAAAAGATGTCAGTTATTTTACTTTACAATTGGTTATAACTATGTTAAATTTTTTCAATTATTTCGGTGACTAACTGAAAATCAACTGAATTTGTGAGTATATATATATATATATATATATATATATATATATATATATATATATATCATGTTTTGATCATGCTGGTAAGTGATACTAATTGCCATTAATTAAAGCTCATTCTTACATCAGATTGGGTGTCAAAATTAGTTAAAATTCTGTCTTATATACTGTCACTTTGAAAAATGAAATAGATTTTACTAAGCCCCTATGAGAAAAGGACATTAAATTGTATATTGCATTATGCTAGATGATATATACATGAAGATCAGAAGAAGAAGTAGAAAAAAAAAAAAAAAAAAAAAAAAAAGAAGAGCTTATCAATATGATGATTAGCTAGCGAAATCTGAAGTGGCACAAAAAATAAAGAAATGTAGGTGTATAAATTTACTAAATAATATTGATCTATTTATAAAAAAAAAAAAAAAAAAAAAAAAAAAAAAAAAAAATTTGTTTGCTTGCACATATATCAGTCAAGGTCTATTTTTTATCCCTTAATGATAAAATGAAAATTCATGCTTTTATTTTAAGAAATTCATGTATTTGAACTATATGTATGTTATGGTCAAAGGTTTAGTTTGGTGCATTTTAATGGGATATGAAGAGGTTTTATCATGTTCATGTTATATTGAAAAATGGTGTTGGTTTTACAGCTTTTGGTTGTCGGTCAGCGGGCTAACACTACTGTAAAATACTATAAATGAGAGTTTATGATGAAAAGAGGGAGTAAAGCAATGGAGAGAATAATGCGATGTTATTTCTCTAGGGCTTCGGCCGCTTAAGTGCCAAAAGAAGTCAAAGGTGATCCATTTTTTCCAGCCCCCTTACACGGTGATCCCAGGGATACTTATACAATAATACAAAATAAGTACAGGGAATGTAGGGTTGGCGTAGAGTCAAAATCTACCAGGAAAGTAGGGCTGACGCGTAGGGGCGAATCAGCTATGGAAACTAGCTGCTATAGCGCCCTAACTACCTAAATTAATAAAGGAAGCTACTTGCATTAAATGCGGAAAGTAAATTTCCGTGGGACGTACATGTCTATAACCGCCTCTGGGGTGTACTCGGTCAGGGAGTATCCTGGTTGCTGAGGAGATGTCTCCGAGGAGTCGCAGTGCTCGAGCGAAGATGTCCCAACCGCATCGCCTGGTGGCCTGTTTGACTTCCTGAATGGTTCCCCGCCTAGGAGGTGCTGCTTGCGGAGCCTGGTCGCCCGCCCGAATTCTGTAAGGTGCTCGGTCGGGGACACACCGGCTGTCGCATCTGCCCGTTTTGCTCAAGCTGACTGACCTTCATCAGGGCTGGCAGCCGTACTTCCTGGTGGTCGATTGATAGGAACCGACTGGCTACGATCTCCCAGTACCCTTCCGGGGGTTGCGGGTGTTGCCCCTTCGCTAAATGTGGTATCACGTCTCACACCTGACCGCCTGGCCTTATCTTCCCGGCCGGGTGTCCGTTTCGGGGGTATCTATCATATGGTTTGTTACGAAATTGGATGATAACGCTAAAATCATTTTAACATATAATGCAATAATTCTTATGGCTTTAAGACATTTATTTGACCAACGTAACATTTTGTATTCTAGATGAGTTAAAAAATTGTTATACCCAAAACCATATACATGCTTAGCATGTAAATAGAAAATTATTAGATACATAAAATGGGCATTTGACTTTACACCGTTGATACAGGTGAGCACTTTTTTCCTTAATTTAACGGAAGAGAAAAAATAAAAAGATTTTGACCAGTTCAAATCCCAACAGGAAAGCATCTGCCTAATACCAAGTGCTTTATTTAAAGGAGATATAGAGATGTAGAAATAATATATACAAGTCAAGTCTTTTCAGGTTATTTTGAGATTTGATTTGCACCCTTACGCGAGAGAAAGCCTCTAAGCTAAACAATTCAAACTTCGTCTAAAAGGGTTGCAAATTCACTTCCCTAACCAATGTGGGATAAGTGCTTCTTTCAAACCTTTCCACCTCCATTTTTCAACTCAAATAAGTCTAGTTTGTGAATCAATTTCTCATTCATGCATTATTCATTTTGAGTGTACAATATATTGATTTATTTGTCTCACTACGAAGAGTGCGAATCAACTTTGACCCTACACAAATCGAAAGCAAACCCCACATATATTTGTACCACAAAATAACGGGAAGGGCTCGCGTGCATTTAGTCCTTCCCATGAGAAATGAGGTTGAATCTAAGCCTTATGTAGCAGTTGATCCAACGAATAAGATTATCAGCAAAATATAAACGAGAATTGCTCATTAAGGCCATTTTGGTCCTTTTGATTATATTAAAAAAAATTCAAAATTACTGATCTTCTTCTTCTTTGCGCGTTTTCAAAATTCACCATTGATTCACTCCAGTATTTCCTAATATCAGTTGATTTTGCAATCTCTACGAAATTGGCAATAAAATCTATTCTCTTCATCGTTCAATAGCTTATTCTTCAAACGAAAACCTAAACCCAGCAACAACGTCAACCGATCAAGAATGGAAGAATTCGATCAAGGTATTACCCAAATTTTATCGCTTATTTGGAATTAATTTTATCTGCTCTTGTATTGGCATCCTTCTTGTCTTGATTACACGCACATTAAAAACTA